GTTTTCCCTATTCAGCCATCTTTGAATTCCCTCATTGGTTTCTGTGTGGGAAGACAAGTGTCAGAGGCTCCCCCTAGGGGTGGAGCTGAGTGTGGCTGATGCACTCACTGCTAATTCCAGGGAATGAATCACTCTGACTTCAGTGCCCTAGCACCGAGCTGGAGCTTGAGTCACTTAGATGAATGGATGGTAAATGAGTGGATGGATGGAGGACGGGGGGGATAAAAAGAGGAGAGGCAACGTAAGGAAAGGTCAGGGCAGGTGTCTGGCACGGCAGTTAAGATGCCTCCTGGGACTCTGTGTCCCGTATCAGAGTACCTGGTGTTTCCTGGCTCCTCTACCTCCAGATCTACCTTCCACGGACAAGCACCTGGGAGGCAGCAGGTGATGGCTCAAGTACCCTCACTGTTGGGTCCCTGCCAGCCACATGGGAGACCAGGATGGAGTTCTGGACTAACTGATTAATCCTGGCCCAGCCTTGGCTGTTGTGGACATTTGAGGCTGAATTGACAGATTTCACTCTCCATGCAAGTGAAGTGAAAATACACTTAAAATTTTTGAAACATGAAGGCAAAGAGAAGAATTAAGAAGCAGCATGGCCAATAGAGAGATGTGGGGTGGGGAGGAGTTGAAAAGAGAAACGGCAGAAGGCCTGTGACAGGAGTGCAGGGACTAGCAGGTGAGGCAGTGAGAGCTCCACCCACCAGCCCTGGTGCCTCTGCCCAAGGGCCTCCTCCTCTCGAGCCCATCACTACTGCCCACGGTGGGTGCCAGCATTCCTAGGCTATTGAGACTGGCACCTCCTTCAGGAAGGCCTTAGTGGGATCAGTTCTTGCCGCAATTTTGTTCTCACATCTCTGGGAGATGCTACCAGGACCCCAATGCTCTGGGTAAACTATGGGACCCAGATTTGCCTTGAATTGGGGCTCCAGCAGAACGTGTTGTGGCCTTAAAAGCCTACCTTGGCCGGTGCCGCGGCTCAATATGCTAATCCTCCGCCTGCGGCACCGGCACACTGAGTTCTAGTCCCACTTGCCCCTCTTCCAGTCCAGCTCTCTACTGCGGCCCGGGAGTGCACTGGAGGATGGCCCAAGTACTTGGCCCCTGAACCCATATGGGAGACCAGCAGAAGTACCTGGCTCCTGGCTTCGGATCAGTGTGGTGTGCCGCCTGCAGTGACCATTGGAGGGTGAACCAACGGTAAAGGAAGACCTTTCTCTCTGTCTCTCTCTCTCTCTTTCACTGTCCA